AGATCAATGTAATTGACCAAATCTAGCCTCGTGGCCATGTAAGGTCAATGTAATTGACCAAATCTAGCCCCAGGGCCACAGAAGATCAAGGTAATTGACCAAATCTAGCCACGTGGCCATGTAAAGTCAATGTCATTGACCAAATCTAGCCCCAGGGCCACAGAAGATCAATGTAATTGACCAAATCTAGCCCCAGAGCCACAGAAGATCAATGTCATTGACCAAATGTAGCCACGTGGGCATATAAGGCTGGTGCAGACTTGGCCGATCCAGGGAGCACGCGAGCGTGTGCGGTTGCACACAGCAGTTGCCGCGCAGCCTCATTCATTTCAATGTGGTTATATCCACGCGGCAAATCGCTGAAAAAAAGGTACATGTACCTTTTTTTGCGACGCATGTTTTTTTCAGTTGTGATCGTGCGCGATTGCATGGGTGGAATCGTGGTGGTCACGGATCGCCCAGGTGTGAGCCTGGCATGAATGTGTGTGCCGTGGAAAACACAGACAATGAAATTCATGTGATCAAAATCAATGTGCTCATCTGTATTGGGGATGTCACCTTGCACAGCTTCTGTTATTGGCGACAAAATCAGAGAGTGCATATAAAAAGGACTCGGCTCGCCGTTATTTTATGCACTTCGTACACGATAGTTTAAGCACATAATGTAATTATGAATTTTATGAGGAAAACAAGCGGGCCGGCTATTTTTGGTTTGTCATCTGCTGAAAAAATACCCGCACGCTGATTTGTTCCACCCACACAAGCTATGTTCAATAAAACACAGATGCTCGTTCGAGCATCCATGTAAAGGAGCCCATTGGGCAGGTAAAACAAGGACATGGCTCAGGGGTTTTATGCACCGAAGCAGCTGTTACATTTTACAAAGGCCGATTTCACACCCTCCGATATTTCCAGATTAGAAGTAGGTACACCTGCCTCCCTTTCCCAGGCACGGAGGCATGCATGAGGTTTAAAGAGGCTGTGGTTAAATCATGTTTGTGCCCCAATATGTGGCTGCCATTTTTGTACTCCCCCCATTGTCTATATACATTGCTTACCCCTATCACCCCATACTGTCCTTCCCCATATAGTGCTGCCCCATAGATCCCTCCCTATACATTCCTTCCTTAATAAAGTACTGCTCCCTTCACACAGTCCTTCCAGCATAAAATACTGTCCATAGAATCTCTTATATAGTCTTTCCCAAATACAGGGCTGCCATCATAGTGTACATCCTCATAAGTCCTTCCTGTACAAAGTTCTGCCCCAATAGTGTTCCCCCTCATACAATCCTTTCTCCATAGGGTGCTTCTCTTCCAGAGTCCTTTCCTCAGAACAATGCGCCCCCACACAAAGCTGCCTCCAAAGTCTCTCTCATACAGCCCTTCCTACATAAATTGCTGCCCCTGTAGAATATATGTTGATATAGTATTTCCTCAATAGTGAGTACTCCAACAAAGTCATCCTCATGAAGTCCCCCCCCCCCTTACGAGGAGCCCCAACAACAAAGTCCCACTCATGCAACCCCCCCAAGGTGGAGGGGCCCCAACAGAATGCCCCTCATGCAGTCCTCCCCTATTACGAGTAGGAGCCCCAACAGAGTCCCCCTTATGCAGCCCTCCACATCTATGAGAAGCCACAACAAATTCTCCCTCATACAGTCCTCCCCCTTACGATGCTGCCCCACTCCTACAGTCCCCCCCACCATCAAATACCTTCTGGTACCCTCATTAGGTTATTCCTCCATATGGTGCTATGCATACAGAGAACCCCTCATACAGTCCTACCCAGGGCTGTCCTTATAATGAAGCAGCCCAAGGCTCTTTCCCAACGCAGCATCCCTTTGGGTCATGTGGGAGGGAATAGATAGAGCAGCATGGCTGCACAATGTTTGCAGTGTGCCTGCCACCCCCTTTCCAGAGTGTCCCAGGTTGCTAAGAGCCTGGGCGGGGAGATATGCAAGGGCCATACACATCTCCCTGCCCAACGTCCTGCTCGCTTCTGGCATCCAGTGACATCACTGGTGGCCAGGAGCTGAGCGGGATGGTCTGGCTGGTGTCCTGACTCCCCCATTGCACCACAAGCACCCCCTCAGGCAGCTAGGCTAGGGACCTCCTTGGTCCTTCCTCTATAAAGTTATGCCCCCATAGTCTACCACCTCCTGCAGTCCTTCATCCATAGGGTGCTGGCCTTATAGAGTCCCAGTTATATAGTCCTCCCCCCTAGAAATGTGCACCCATACAACACTTTCCAGATAGAGTCTCCCTCATAGAGTCTCCCTCATACAGTCCTTTCCCCATCAAATATACTCTCATACAGTCAGTTCTTCCCCACAGAGCCCCCCTCATGCAGTCCTTACCCCATATGATGTTGCCCCCATACATTCCTCTACTTCAATACAGTTCTCGTCCTACAGTCCTTCCACCATAATATACTGCATTCAGAGTTCTCCTCATAGAGTTATTTCTCCCTCTGGTGCTCCCCCATAGAGTCCCCCTCATACAATTTACCCTCTACAAAATACTATCCCCATAGAGTCCCCTGACCCCACAGAGTCCTTTCCCCTATACAATGCCGCCCACATCAAACCCCCCTCATACAGTCCTTTTACCCCATTGAGTGTTCCTCATATGGTCCTTCCATAGAGTGTGCATAGAGACACAATCTGTATGGAGTGAGTGTTTTGCATAGATGCCCCCCTCCCCTACCCAGCTCCAGTCCTTTTATCAGCCAATATAATTGCATACTTACCCACATTTCAGTCCCTGTCCCCGGGATACAGTATACCCTCCCATAGTCTGCCTTCATCTGCTTTTCTCTCCAGAAGGACATTACCAGATTTTTTTGGGTATCATCCAGGGTCACCATCTACTTCCTGGACTGACATGCTGGCTCAGAGATGGCACGTCATATAATTCCTGGTCCCTGTGAAGTTCTTGACTGTTCATAAATGTCTGACACTGATCAGCCCCTGCTGCAGCTTCTAACTCGGTGACTTTACATTGTCACAGTCTGTTTACTAGGGGAGAGGCGAACAAGCAAATGCTTCCTCCTGCCTGCAGCAGACTGATGACATCAACCCAGGCTGGGCAAAGTGACTGGACTGACCTTGGCAAAGTGACTGGTGGCTTTTTAATGATTAAAAGGTGGAACGTTTCTGGAAAAGTTGTTACTGTATATGGTGACATGTCAGGAATTTATTCCTGCCGACTGCTAAAGTTACTGATAGGTCCACTTTAGGTTGCTCAGTCTAGTTCCCTACCGAGTAAGCTGCACGGCTCCCTACCGAGTAAGCTGCACGGCTCCCTACCGAGTAAGCTACAATTCTCTCTACCGAGTAAGCTACACAGCTCCCTACCGAGTAAGCTACACAGCTCCCTACCGAGTAAACTACACAGCTCCCTACCGAGTAAACTACAAGACCCTCTACGAAGGCAGCTACAAAGCGTTCTATGCTGGAAGCTACACGGCTCTCTATGGAGTAATTTACACGACTGTTTAGTAAGTAAGCAACACGGCTCCCTATACAGTAAACTACCCAGCTCCTTATAAAAGGAATCTACACGGCTCTCTATGGAGTCAACTAAAATACTGCACAACTATTGCATTGAGCATTGCATTAAAGTCACCTACACGGCTCTGTATGAAGGGAGGTACAAGGCTCTCTACGGAGGAAGCTGTGCAACTCTGACCACAGTGCGCCCGACCTCGCTGCAACACGCGGTACTGCAATACCATGTGTTGCAGTGAGGCTAAAAAAAAGGAGTGCATGCAGCGAGGTCGGGCGCACTTTGGCGGGAGGAGCGCTTGGAGTGCCGTTCAAATGAGCGGTAATGCAACGCACCTCCTGCACTGTAGTTGCGTTGTGCAGTAGCATGTGTCAATTGTGCAGCTAATGTGACGCTATGGTGTGAATGGGCTCATAGTCATAGCTTGTTCAAAAAGTGTGTTAACAAGGAAAAACATGCTTGTTGCCCATAGTAACCAATTAAATCCTTGTTCCATCTGCAAACCGCAAAGTTGGCGACAGGTTGATTTTAGTACAATACAGGAAATATTGTTCAAGGAAACACAGATGCCCAGGGCAACCAATCAGCTTGTCTCTTATTTTCAAAAGGTTAACTGAACAAACTGAAGAGAAAAGCTGATTGGCTGCCCTGGGCAACTGCTCCAGATTCTATCTGCTCCATTGTTGATAAATTCCCTCCAATAAGACTGGAGCAGGCAGACTCTGGAGCAGTTGCCCATCAGCTTCTCACTTCAGTGTGTTCAGTCATGCTTGTTGCCCATAGCAACCAAGCAAATCCTTGTTCCGCCTGCAAAGCGAACAACTCGAGGAGTAAAAGTTGGCGGCAGGTTGATTGACAGAGGCACTACTTTTTTTTTTTTTTCTTTCTTTTTAGCCGCAATGCAAGATATTGCGGCGCCCAGTGGTGCGCTTGGGGTGCCATTCAAATGAATGGTAATGTGACGCAGTTGCTGCGATGTAGGTGCGTTGCATGTTAGCGTGCAATTAGCGCAATGCTATGGTGTGAATGGACCCTATAACAATTTTTTTTTTAAAACAAAGTGCTCTAAAGAGCTTACAATCTAAAAAAAAGGGGCGGATACACAATGCTATGATGCATTTGGCTGGCTGCGCCAATGTTGATCAGGTACAGAGAGCCGATAGACATTATAAATCAAAGCAATATAAATGCAGAATAAAAGTAGCATCTGTAATAAATTAGTGATCAGCGGGCACCCATTCATACCGGCTGCACCCAGAGGATAATGCCAACGTTCCCTGCCAGCCCTTGACCATGCCAGCAGCATCTGCAGCCTCCATGACGTCATGATGCAGCCTGGTGATTGGCTGATGACCAGAGCCTGCACCCCTTCCACACTGATCCATGACATCACATAGCAATGACAACACTCACAGCACATCCTGCAGCATGCACATTGCAACATAATAACAAAAAAAAGACCATCATGAGAGGTGTGCAACAATCACTCACCTTCCACAGCCATGATCTCAGCACTGTCCTGCCACACACATCATTACTGATGAAGCCCGGGCACCATCTGCCTCTTATTCTACACAGCTGCTGATGTATTTCTGCTTTCCCTGCTAAGGGGAACCTGCACGGAGCGAGCCTGGGAACCGGCGCAAGGCTTTCTGGGAAATGTAGTCCTGTGAGTTCAGGGAGCCTCGTACTGTGCAAGGGTGCGTGCGGATGAAGTCCATCAGATTGCATTTTATTGAATAACTGACACCTAGCAATGCACATTAGCTATATCTATAGTTATAGAAAAGATTTGGTTGAGGGTGAGGTTATATTAGGGGGGTGTGTGTCGCCAGGGACTACATTCCCCAGAATGCTTCGCTCCAGGAGCTGAATTTGACAGCAAGTGCAAGTATTTCCTTTAATAACTTCCTCCTCAGGTGGCACTGGCAGAGGCATGCTGAGTGAGACGAGGACCGCAAACGGAGGAGCTGCCCTGCTGGAAAAACGAGATTTTGTTTAGTCTGTAGAGTCTGTGTACAGGAAATATTTTTCAATAAATACAGAGGGGAATTTGGAGCTGTTGCCCATGGCAACCAATCAGCTTGTCGCTTTCTTTCTCAAAGGTTAACTGAACGAATTGAAGAGGGCAGCTGATTGGTTACTGTGAGGGCATGCTACAGAGTCT